GTGGTTGACGCATAAGTTTAAACTCGTCTTCAAAATAAATTTTATCCATGCACACAGTAGGACTAACACCTTGCAAATCCTCAATTTTCCACCCTATGGTAAATTTATACTCTCTCAACACCCTTAAAAGTTCATCTTCCTTAGTAGTAAGTTCACTGCTCACAATTATGGGGTTAAGCTTCTGCTCGTCTAAGAACCTGTATTTGAGGTGAGAGGGAAGTTGTTTCAATTCTATCTTAGATGTATCTTTTCTCTACTCTCATTCTTGTGTAGGTCTTCTATCCCTTTTGTGGAAGTGACTAATGGCTTGAGGACTTCTAATTGATGAACACACTTCACTACCTCTTCATCATTAATTTTTGTACTCAACTCTTTTGCTTCCATTCTTGGCAGTAGAGCTCTCTCTAATGGATTCTTCCTTACATGGTAGTCTACCTCCTATAACACAAGAGACTCAATTATTTCATCCTTGAAACAATCTTCTTTGTCCAATTTATGTTTCACTGCTTCATTTATAGAGAATGTGACTTTTTCATCTCTTATTCTTAACATCAATTCACCTTGTTCTACATCTACCAATGCTCTTCTTGTGGCTAAAAATGGTCTTCCCAATATAATTGGGACTTTATCATCTTCCTCCATGTCAAGAACCACAAAATCAGTTGGAAAGATAAATTTATCCACCTTCACTAAGACATCTTCCACAAGGATAAGTCATTGAACGGTCTGCCAATTGTAGAGTTATCATAGTAGGCTTCACTTCTCCAATACCCAGCCTTTTAAAAATGGACAAGGGCATCAAATTGATGCTTGCACCAAGGTCACACAATGCCTTACCCACCGTTATATTTCCAATCTCACATGGAATGACAAAGCTTCTAAGATCCTTCAACTTGGGAGGTAATGTTTGTTGAATTATTGCACTGCACTCCTTTGTAAGCATAATTGTTTCATCTTCTTGAAGCTTCCTTTTCTTTGACAACAAGTCTTTCATGAATTTAGCATAACTTGGCATTTGCTACAATGCTTCAGCAAATGGGATATTAATGTGGAGTTTCCTAACAACGTCAAGAAATCTTGCAAATTGCTTCGCTTATTCTTGCTTCTTCAACCTTTGAGGGAATGGAATTGTAGGAACATATTCACGCATTTTACTCTCACTCTCTTGAGTCTTTTCTCCCTCATTCTTCTTCTCACATTTTCTCTCAACTTCTTCCTTGTCACTCTCTTCTATTATTTCATCAACTATTTTCTTTTTCTCTCTCTCCATCTCATTCCTTTTTTCATTCTCTAACACTCTTCCACTCCTTAATTGAATTGCCTTACATTGTTCCCTTAGGTTTTGTATGGTGTCACTAGGAAATGTTCCAGAAGATCTCTTTGAGAGTTGTCTTGAAACTTGACCAATTTGGTTCTCCAAATTTCTAATGGAAGCATCCTGGTTCTTGAAGTTGGTCCTTGTGTCATTCATGAAATTAGAAGTATGCTCCACAAAGGTAGAATTTTGCATAGGTAGCTTCTCTAATGCATTTTCCAACGTAGACATCTTGTTTCCTTGATTGCTAGGTTTGATATTGATATGAAGGCCTTGGTTGATTAGATTGGATTGGATTACTCCAAGGTCTAGTTGGTTGGTGTCTCCAATTTGCATTAAGGTTGGTAGAAAACTGATTATGTTGTTGTCCCACTGCATTCACATGTGCCTCTTGTTGAGTGGCCTGACATTCACCATTATGATGCATTCCTCCACAAAAATCACACACTGAAGATATTGTATTAACATTATTTGCTTGCATATTTCCCAACTTCTGAATCAATTAAGTGATCTGTTGTGTTAACAACTTGTTTTGGGCTAGGAAAGCATCCAAAGTATTAACTTCCATCACTCCAGCTTTTCTATTTTGGCGATCAAACTGCATATTCACTGTGTTGTTTGCCATTAGCTCAAGAGTCTCCAAAGCTTCCTCTGGTGTTTTCATATTAAATGATCCTCCACTTGCTGCATCCAAAATTGCTTTAAAAGAGGGTGAAAGACCATTATAGAAAATCTGTACTTGCAACCATTCTGGTAGAGCATGATGTGGACACTTCCTCATTAGCTCCTTGTATCATTCCCATGCCTCATATAAGGATTCAGTTTCTTGCTGCCAAAGATAGTGATCTCACTTCTCATATTAGCTGACTTGGACGGAGGGAAGTATTTGGTTAAAATCGTTTGGCACAAAGGTAGTGATCTGCACAAAAATTTGATGAATGTTTGACAAGTGTACCAATCGTTATTGTAGTAATAAAATATCGTCCTCTGGGATTGAATGAGTTGAGTACTATATTCCGAATTTACATAATTTTGAGCAACCAAAAATATCAAGTAAAATGATGAACATAAACAAGTCATGGGAATTCAAATAGTATAAACAACGTTAGAGAATTGATTTCATACATTTTCATATAAATTCCTACCCTTTCCAATTGATGTGTGAATTATAATTATTCACTTGAGTTTATTAAGAGCTTGTTTACCCCTAATTCTTTAGACAGGCAAACGTATCCATTGAACTCTAACCCCCAATCCATTAGGTCAGTTACAAAATTCAATAAAATCATGAAGAACAATTATTATCTCAATTGCAAACTAATTAGTTGTGCCCAATTTCCCAATTGTGACAAC